AAAGAGACGAGTGCTTAGAGGACTTGTTCGGATTAATTCCAGCTGCTGAATTCCACCGCCGTACACTGCGACAGGAATCGAAATGCCACTCTCCTCATCTGGCGGGCGTCAATTACCGTGATTTTCGTGGAACCCTCTGCTTCGCCTGACCACACTGTGGAATTAACTGTTATCGGTTGTTTTTCAGTACCGATACGATTAAGGGACCTTCAAGATAACAACCTGTCTACTTCAATAAATAAGGCCGGCAACGCATCTGTTACAGATGTTTATAGATAGGTGGCAGAGATCCCTTACCATCTGGTGACCCGTATGGCCATTTGCCTCCTTTTCCATTAAACTAAAAAATTAAATTATAATATGAATAAATACATGTAATTACAATTAATAATTGTAACTATTGAACAAGGTTCTGCCGGCCTCCTTCTCGTGATACTCGAGCTTTGCATCAATCGAATGCTATTTAATGAATGAATGAAATTGGAATTATCGCTCATTTGCTCTTCTTATTTAAAACACATTTATAAAATAAATGTTAAATTTTAATATAACGATATTCGAATAATAATAATAATAATAATAAAGATTATATCTGGACCTGGCTCACGAGGTGACCGACATGTGGGGTGGTCTGCCGACCGAATTATTCCTGTAGTCGTCTCTGCGAATGGGCTAATCCCAGTCAGCCTCTCGGGTCATCTGAGGCGGCTGGGACTACGTGGCGGACCGCTCCAGGCTCAAATGCAGAAGGCGGTGCTCCTCGATACCGCCCGCATCGTCCGCCGGTTTCTTTCCCTTTCCCCCTAACCCTCGGCCGTTTGGTCTCCCCTGCCGAGGGCCTCCATCTGGTTGGGCTTTTATTTATTTATGTACTTTTATATTTATTTTATGTTATTGATATTTATGTATTTATCTTTTCATTTTCATTTATAATTATATATTTATAGAACCCAACCAGATGAGAAAGCTATATAGATACCCCAAAAATAATAATAATAATATTCTTTATTGACATAAAATTTGTTACAATATTATTTAAGCCTCTGACTCCCGAGCTAGGTTAGAAAACCTGTGTTACGAGAGTCAGCGATCTCCCTAATATACAGCTACTTATTTTATGTAAATAAAGCAATTTTAAAATCTGTGTGTGCGTGTGTGTATGAGTGTGTGCATGTGTACGTGCGTGTGTGTATGTGTGTCTGAGTGCGCGCGAGAGTGCGTGCGTTTGCGTGTGTTCGTGTGTGTGGATGAAATTTAAGATTTAAACAATTTTTTATACTAATATCGATTCAGTTTGTTCATAATCTAATCCTAATAGCCAATTCTTAATTTCAATTTTCACTTTTCTACTAGTTAAGGGATATATATTTGTTAACTTATTAATTTTGTTGTATAAATATATAGCTTTATATGCATGTTGCCGTCTAGCAGAGGCTGTTCGACATGTTATTGGTAAACATACATTTTTATAACCCGGTTTTTGTTATAATCAGTGGCATTATAAATGGTAACCATATGCTGTTTAGTAATTAACTTCAAAATGTACTAGTTGCCTCACAGTTAATACTCGACATATCTCATACAATTCTTTAGTGGGAAATCTGTATGACCTAAATGCCATGACTTTTAAGAGGGATCTTTGTGCCCTTTCCAGGCGGATTAGAAAGGTCTTACAGGCTCCTCCGCAGACGTTTATACAGTACCCTATTACAGACTGAACTAAAGCATAGTAAATTGAACGCAAGAGAGGTAAATCAGCAGTGTATCTTAACTTTTTAAACACCCAAATAAGTTTTCTAGTACGTTCAGTTCAGTAAGCTCTATGTGTGAGTGCCAGTTAAGTTTGTCGTCCAGTATTACACCAAGATATTTGACACTATTGGATTTATTAAATGCAAGACATGAACATGAGGGGATAGTATTGAAAGGGTTAGTACACGAGTGGACCTTAAGATCAAGGCTTACGGATCCAGTGTTTCCCAAGGAGAACTGCATGTATGTAGTTTTCGAAATATTTAAAGTTAGGAGATTACCGCCGAGCCAATGGCTAACTCTGTGAAACCCTAGCTGAGCGTTATGTCGAGCCTCATCCCAAGTCTTAATCTGGAAGACTAAAGCTGTATCATCAGCATAGGTAAATATTTTGCCGTTTACTAAAGGTTGCTGACATAAATCATTTATATAAATAAGGAAGAGACTAGGTCCTAGTATACTTCCCTGTGGAACGCCACATACAATCGGTTCCTCGGGGCTGACATATTCACCCACTTTAACCTGTTGTTTACGGTCACATAGGAAGTCCTTAAAAATCATGAGTGCTTTGCCACGAATACCAACGCGTTCTAACTTGCTCATAAGGATAGGAATCGAGACCGTGTCAAACGCCTTGGGTAGGTCGAGGAAAATTCCCAAACATTTTTGCTTTGCATCAACCTTTGATGTTACAAATTCTGTTAATTGAATTACCGCGTCTTCAGTGGAAGTCCACTACCGACCGACCTAAATCTAAATTGTGAAGAAGATATTACTTTATTATATTCTAAAAATTTTATAAGTCTATGATTTAATGATTTTTCCAAGATTTTAGAGATAGACGAGAGTACTGAAATAGGCCTGTAATTGGAAATTTCGTCTCGATATCCATCCTTATGAACAGGAGTGATCAGCGATTTTTTAAAAACTTTTGGAAAGATTCCTTGCGCATAACAGAGCTCAATAAGTTCAGTCAAAGGTGGAACTGGTGAGAGTGCATAGGTATAGAGTCCCATCCAGTAGCAGAGTTATTTTTTAAGCTTCTGATAATCGATTCTACCTCTCCCTCATCTGGTGGAAGTAGCACAAAAGAGTTAGGAACCGATGGAATTGTGAAATTATATGGAGACCTATTTTGATTTGAAATATTTGCAGCGTCAGCTAGTTTTTTACCAATATTAGAGAAGTATTTATTTATATTTTCTACATCACGAACAGCATTTTCATTAGAACTGAAAAGGTTATCAGCACTCGTCTTTTGTTTCGTGTAATTTATTATAGTTTTAATTGCACTCCAGGTATCTTTATTAGTTTTCGCATTACGTAATAGTGACTTTTCGTAGTTTCGTTTAAGGTTTCTCAACAAAGAGCTACAATAATTTCAGTAACGCTTGTAAGTGATTTCAAGAATTTTATTTTCAGGACTTTTTTTAAGTTTACGATGAAGTTTGTCTTTGTGTCGAATACAACGTAAAAGACCAAGAGTTAGCCATGGTTTTAGCGTTCTTTGCTTATTAGGGACACGACGGGAATGGGAGTGAAGTGAAATTGCACTAGCCAACTTTTCTACAAGAGTTAATGCGGCTTCATTTGCATTTGCATCAGATGAAGTGTTTATAAATGAAAAGTCCACTGTCTCTAAATATTTTAAACAAGCATCGTAGTTGATTCTAGTAAAAAGCTTTGGTTCTTTTGGTATTTGCTGGCCAGGGCAAATGATCAGTAGGATTGAAGAATGGTCTGTTATAGTACTATTAACCACAAATACTGATGCTGCCAAACTAGTTTTCAGCATGACATGATCTAGACAGAAGTGTAACCTAGTAGGATAAATGTGATCTGGAAGCAAACCTAGCTCCACTGTTAGGTTTAAGTACGCTTCACTTCTTCGATCGTTGTTATTAACTTTAATGTCAATATTAATATCACCAATTAGTATCATGTTTTTAGGTTGAGTCCAGTGAATGAACTATATTTTCTATAGAATTCAAAAAAACTGTCAATACATTGAGTCGACGGAGATCTGTAAGAAGCTAAAATGAAAATGTCGGGATCAATAATTTTAATAGATATAAAAATAGCATCTAATGGCTCTGGTGCTTTTATTGTACATTTAATACCTGTTTTAACATATATCACTATACCGTCGTTTTGATTGAGACATTTGTGCGTATAGTACATATTGTAATTTTCAAATTGAGGGATTTGTTTACGGGCACTCAGCCAGCATTCAGTTAAGATAATGATGTCACATTCAAAGTTAAAACGAGACAGTTGAACCAATAAACTATCTGAGTTTTTGTATACGCTGCGAATATTTTGACGGAATATTTTCAGGGAATTATTATATATATAACAGGGAAAAAAACATGTTTCAGTGTAGCACTCATAAGCCAATGCTACATCTATGTTGTCTAATTCTGTTGAGATATTTTCATTTGCATCAATTACCGCGAACAGGTTGATAGATTGGCACTTATTATTGTTATACGTACACTTGGTTAATGTTATTATGGAATGCAAGTAAACAAGCTATCAATGTGATTTTTGTGAGTATGAGTGAGGTTATAAATGAGTTTATGTGTTTGAATAGTTTTTGCACGATGATATTTGGGGTGAGTAAAGTGAAGATGTCCAGTTCAGTGTGAGTATAGTGGTGAAGTGTATCCACAGTATCATAAATTGTTTTAAAAATTGTTCTTAAAATTAACTTACAAGATTTTCTATACATACGATTAAATTTACTGTCAAAAATGAGTGACAGAACGTGTTTTAGAAGGCATATTCTAAATTTATATAATATACGTAATCTAATTCTGCTGACTAAATTTCTCCAAATCGCTCTGGAATGACATTTCTCGATTGGGTTCTGCATTCTCCATGTCAGTTGGCTTAGAGAGAAAAAAATTATCAGAATCAATTCTAATAGACCTTTCACCAGTCAATTTTCGGATAAAAACTTGGCCATTAGTCGTCCAGCAATATTGGTATTTATTGTCTTTGGCGTACATTCTAGCTTTTCGAAATAGGGCTTTGGAGCTTGGTGGTAAATATTCTGAGATATATATTGGTACGCGCTTACCAGATAACCCAATGGATTCAGAGTTAAGTTTTTCTCCGGTCGGTTTATTTTTATTGAAATTTCTAGCCGCTGACAAAATATAATTTTTGTCGCGCACCCTTACAAATTTGCCCACGATAGTTTTATTCGTTCCAGGTTTACCCGGTAGACGGTAAACATCCCGCACTTAATCGTATTTGATGGGAATATGCAGAGCATTACATACGCCGCTTACTATGGAAAGCAGGTCATCGGTCGTCTCCCTTTCTTGCATAGGGATATTTCTAAATTCTATTGATGCCGTGCGGGACTTAACCTGTAGATCGTGTATTTTTCTTTCCATTTTCATTAAATTTTCAGTGTACTCGGAACGTTCTTTTTCTAATTTTGCTATCTTTTTCCTCATGTCATCATATTCTGAGGAGGCATATGTCATAAATTTGCGTATCTCCAAATTAGTCTCTTGTATATTCTTATATATCTTGTATATTCTATTTTGCTGTTTCAAATCGTAAATTTCGGTTATCAATTTCGAAAATTTTAAGTCTTGTTCAGCTGCCCAGTTCTTAAACATCTGTTGAATATCTTTTTTTCAGCCTAGAATATTCGTCTAATGGTGATCCATCAAGACGTGGGTGCTTTTTGAGTGTAGAAACGTTGGAGGTTTCAATTTCATCCCCGTGACGCATGGCACTCACCATATCAGGCTCGGATTGTACTTGTAGTAATACACTCTCGGACACAGGTGGCGGAGTGCGTTGCACGAGTGACATTTTTTATTATACTTTTCAGCAATTAATACTTGTTTGCAGAAATAGCTATTATGCTAATAACGAGTGCGAGACAGAAGACTCCAGTGGAGGCGATCTTAATTACTGTAGGTTATTAGTTCTGTCGGCTGCCGGCTGTCGAGTTCAATTGTACGCTGTTGGTTACAAATATATGAAAAACTTACGAGAACTCCGAAGATGTAATCTGGTAGAATTATTTTATTTTTATTGTTAGAATGTACACTTTTATATTATGGCAACATTTATGAATGAAGTGACTTGACGAGTTGACAGTGACAGCGATGTCAATTATATAAACAGTGTCAACAGATTTTAATATGACGTAAATATAACTTTTGTATTCGTGGGTAGAAGATATTCAATTATTCGCCGAAAAGAATTTTTAGTTTAGATACTGATTTTACACGGTTCACAGTTAGTTTCGATATTGAAAACATTAATGTGGAGACTTAGGCACTTTCAATGCAGAATAAATTTATTTTAGAGCACAGAATCACAGGATTTGCACTTTACACAAATAAAATTTGCGGAGCGTATGTGCTTCAATCAACGACTTGACAGGAGATAATGATTAATTTAAATTAACCTAGTGGCGCTGATAAGTCGATCGTCTTTCTGGATTCAAATTTATTCTGGAGTAAGCTTATGAAATTCATTTTAAATCGAAAATCGAAACGAATAGTTCAGAAGAAGTAGTAGTAATTTTGATCTTGTGACAAAGTACTTCATTATTGTCTTTGTTGAAATACGATACTGAAATAAAAATAAATTTGTTATATAAGAGACTTTGGAGTATTTGTTGGGAATAATGGATATCATTCGGTTATCAGAATTGATATGGAAAGGATAAATAAGTTTATAACTATGTAGTTACACTATTTGTTTATACCTATTACAGATATTATAGTTTAAATAATATATATATACATACAATAGTATTATCTATCTATCTATGTATATTGTATAGATTGCAATCTATGAATTAAGACGAATGTAAAAAAAAAACAAAAAAGAATATAGCATTTCCCCATTTAAAAAAATTGATTAGCTATACATATAATATTATGAATTTGTGAAGCAATTTATTGCATTAGTAAACACTAGTACACATCCAAAAAAATAAAAACTTGCCAAGTGCGTGTCGGGCCACGCATAATGTTCCGTAGGTGCTCGGTCCAGTAAATGAATTAAGAAGGAAGCCTTCTTCATATGTTTTCTAACCAGGCATACGTCTAAACCAGTATGCAACCAGCGTGTTGCCAGTAAAGACTATGAATCTGAGATGTTGGCCTTCACTGTTTGCCGTGTGAGGAAGGTGATGGTTGCTCAGCGAGCTATTAGTTACTTTAGCTAGACTTAAAAATCGGAATATCTGCTGTAAAACCAGAGTAACCGACATAGCCCAATGGATTAGTAAGCTGAAGTGGCAAATGGCTGGCCAATATATCACGAAGAACCGATATCCCATGGGGAAGTAAGTTTAATCTTGTATCAGTAGACAAAGTGTTGGGCGTCCACAGTAGGATGGAGTGACGACATGGTAAGACATGCAGGAAATCAATGAATGCAGGTGGCTTAGAACCGTGCTATGTGACATTTCTTGGGGGAGGTCTATGTGCAGCAGTAGACTTGTGAATAGCTGTAATATTGATATAATGATAATATGAAAGAGGTTGACGTAACGGCAAAAAATACAATGGTAACTGAAGGACTTATTTTCCAAGCAGACTTACGGTGTTATTCAAAAAATTATAAAACATTTCGATTTTGAAAATAATATAATTTATATCTAATAATTTACATGCCAAGACCGTACAAAAATATTATTTACGTGGTAGAGTCACGCTGAGACCACTATGTTACAGTTGTGGCACGAATGAGTCGGCTCGATCGGGGTAGGTCCACGCTCTGACAGAATAACAACGTAAAATAGAAGCGCCATGTTGCTGTGTTTCTTATGGTGAGTGCAAAGAACAGGAGATCCTTTTTACTGCAAACGAGTCATTTCATCTTAATCCTCAAGGGTAACAACGCATTTGAATTTTGATTCTTAATCGAGGATAAAGGTGGACCGCGTGTTCTTTTATCACCCTGTTCTATAAAATATGATTATAGTTCACTATCCATCTATTAGTTTACGCAGTGGAACCCTAAGATACACATGAGCATAACGAAAATGAAGAGTATCACGAATTAAACTGTATGAGGCTGTTTGAATGTATAAATACTATGAACGAAGCCTACAATAACTACTAACTAAAAATATATCTTTACCATCGATTATCTTTGCTTACCCCAAAAAGTAAAATGTAAAGCTATAGTCGTAATACATATTACATTAGCATTTTTTTCAAAAAAAAAAAAAAAATACTTCGTACAGCTTACAATAACATTACAAAACTATAGTGCAGTTCGTTTTAGGTTATTTTATATGGAATTGTAACGAAATTTTCACTAATCTAAATGCATTTTATAAGTTGGTCGACTGGTACTTGCTAACATATTAAGTCTACTTAGCTGTGATAGTTTTTACTTTAACTTAATTAAATACATTCTTTCCCGTATACTTTTTACATTTTAAAAACAGTTGCCTCATGCACACATACCTCTAATAAAAATACTAATTTAAAGCTAAATATTTCGGAAACGTATCCCTGAATCTAAAAAATGTTCTTCCACACCTCCAGTATTTTTAAAATACCTATCCAACGATACCCCACAAGATGGAATAGACCAGCAAAAAATATCATCCATTTACCAAATGAGGTGCCCAATATAAAAACATTTTTCAAGGTTGTATTTTACAGTTTTGTAGGCGTGATCAATATTTATATCTATAGCAAATAACAGATTTGTTACGCTTATAGTCTCTGAATCAAAATGCGGATGGATAGACGAACACGGCGAAATTATAAGGGTTCCTTGTTTTTTTAACTACAGAACCCTAAAAATAAACAACCTAATATTCTTATTTCTTCCAAAAAGTATGGCGAACATTATTCCTATAACAAAAATATTTTACCGCTACATTATTCGTACTTTATTGAACAATGAAGATATAACAGATCGTTTCACTTTATAGAACAATTTCAGAACCAATTCTGATTTAGTGAAATATGGTATCTACGAGGGGGTTGCATTTTGAAATAAACTTATATATTTTGAGTGAGATTGCTCTATGTTACCGATTACGCGCACAAAGGTATTATATCATTATATAAACGGCATAAAAAACAGTTACGTAACAATCTGGTTTAAAAAACACATACATTTATTTTATTACGTTGTGGGGCTACTAACAGCCAGCTAAGGCAAATATACAAGTGAGTATATATATCTTGGTTTTTGAAAAGGCTCTTTCTTAATGACAAATGTCAAAATTATAAAATGTTACAAAAGTCATTTATAAAATGTTTAAAAGATTTAATTGGGCGTTTTCTTTCATTTAAAGTTTGTGGCAAATGTACGTGTGGGCTGCAATCAAAGACACATAAGTATGTAGTAGTAATAGACCGGACATCAGCAACAAAATTGTCGTCTGTAACTTTTGTCCTATAGGATGTATCTCCGATTTTTGTCATTTAGTCTGAGTGACATCGTCAAAAGGTCAAGACGCATTCATTTTATAAATTTAAAAATATTTTAAAGAAAATATGTCTGGTTGTGCATTAAAGTATTGTAAATCACGATATGGAGCAAAAAATGAACGTGATTTCAGTTAATTATCGTAAGAATAATGTGTATTTACCAAATAATCTTTAAATTTTATTGTTTCTAGTAGATAGTGTTGTTGAAAAATTATTGTAATAGGTACCCTCTGTTATCCAGTAACGTCATTATTTATTTACAAATATGTTAGTGATTAACGATGTACCTACAATGGATTTTAACCTTATGTTTAGTAGTGTCAGCTACTGGGTAATAGCTAAAATGTTTTCTAAATAAATATTTATTTATTTTATTTATTTATTTAATCTTCATTATACACCTTATATACTAAGGGATATAAAGGGCGGACTTAATGCCTTATGGCATTCTCTGCCAGTCAACCCTGGATGATTTGAGAAACTGTGACAGGTGTAATCAATCACTTCATAAATAAATAATAATGATATAAAACAAAATAAAATGCAGATGAATAGAATAGATATATAGTTAGTAAAATATACATACTTACTTAATATATAATATAGGATAAATAATAAATATATAAACGGGTACTTCTATACAAAACTATAAGTAAATAAAATATTATGAGACAAAAATAAAATAACACAAATAACACAATAATATTCAGTGTAGTATTGCTATATTTCGCTAGAGGGTGTAATACATGCGCGTGGTCACAGCTTTTGTATGAAAATGTTCCCAATGTCCGCTCTATAGTATATATATATATATATATATATATATATATATATATATATATATATATATACTATAGCTACTATAGTACCAAATCTTTGTGTAATAATATGTTCCTGAAAACAGTTAGATGGGTCGCAGCCACTACATGTCAAAGTGATTATTAATTAGCGTCCACTGCGCATGTACAATTAAGCAGAAAAATGCGAATTGTATTACGACATTTTAATATGTAAAAAGTCAAAGGTCGATATAATAAATACATATCAAGATCTCCACGAAAACGGAACTATATTTTTATATATTTATATATTCTGTATTTTATGTACACTTAGTTAAAGAAATAAAATATTTTGTATTTGTAATTGCTGTTTTGTCACCAGACGACATACATATAAAAAAGTGTAATATACCGTTA